TCTCCTCTCCTCTCCTCTCCTCTCCTCTCCTCTCCTCTCCTCTCCTCTCCTCCCCTCCCCTCCCCTCCCCTCCCCTCCCCTCCCCTCCCCTCCCCTCCCCTCCCCTCCCCTCCTCTTTCTTTCTTTCTTTCTTTCTTTCTTTCTTTCTTTCTTTCTTTCTTTCTTTCTTTCTTTCTTTCTTTCTTTCTTCTTTTGAGATGGAGTCTCGCTGTCACCCAGGCTGGAGGGCAGTGGGGTGATCTTGGCTCACTGTAACCTCTGCCTCCCAGGTTCAAGCAATTCTCGATGCCTCAGCCTCCCAAGTAGCTGAGATACAGGCATGAACCACCACACTCGGCTATTTTTTTGTATTGTTAGTAGAGACAGGGTTTCACCATGTTAGCCAGGATGGTCTCCCCCAGCCTCCCAGAGTGCTGGGATTACAGGTGTGAGCTGCCACGTATGGCTAGGCATCTTAGTGGTTTTTTGTAACCTGTGATTATTGCACATCCTGGCACTGACTACGGTGCCTTATCTCCTCTTGCTGCAGCACCAGTACCTGTGGCTAGATATGCACTGGCCCAGCCTGTGTTTACCGCTACAGCCCCATTGCAATACATTAACCTGGGATCAGCTTCTGACTTCATTAAGGGAGGTCAAAAGAAGGTGCCATAAATTTTAGTGTCCATTCCACATGAGGAGTTTCAAAGTATGTTTTGAAGAAGGTCCACATTTGGGAATTAATTGGAGACCTCCTTGGAGTGACTCTTCTAGGAGACCCAATATTTATCTGGATATATGAATTTTTGATGTTTGAAAAGAAAGAAGTCTTTGTACCTAAGGTTCTTAATATCTTTAGTCTCCATCCAACTGAAAGCATGAGGGGATGAAAACTCTGGCTTTCCTGTCCCAGCAGTGTGTATGACGGGCCTCCTCCATCCTGTCTCCTCTCCACTCCCCAGAAGATTCCAGGGTGCTCAGTCTTTTTCCGGCTTCCCCTGTCAAAGCCATTCCAAGGGAAGGGGGATCTGAGGTTTCAGTGACACCCACCTCAACAGGCTCCACTTCCCTTGCACAGGGGGCAACGGGAAGACTACCCTAGCATCTTCGTGGCTGGGCAGCTCCCCTAGGGCAAATTTGAACAGGGCATAAACCATCACTGAGATAAATTCAAATTATGGTGCTTGTTCACTTCAGCTTCCATACACAGCTTCCTTCACAGCTGGTGAAACATAAGCTGATCCTTTTTCATTGAAGTTTGACAGAGCCTTAGGGAAGAAACATTTTTAAACAGCCTTTCCCCGAGCTACCGTGACTACTAAGAATTTTGAGATGAACATGGGGTAAATGCAATTAGCTGAAGTTCAGCAGCTCACTGAACTCCTGCGACCATGGAACACACGGCATAGTTAGCGGGAAGAAGTGATGTATTTTGTTATCTGTGTGTCCAAATCATCTGATGTGCCTCCCAAGCAGTACTCCAGATCAAAAGAAATCTGAGAACAGACTTTCAGAAAAGCGGGAGAAGCCTTACCAAGTGTTTTAAGATTGTTGATTCCATTTTGGTCAGTGCTGATTACTGAACTAATATGTTTCTATGTAAAGTTTGTACTCGGAGAAAGTCAGTTACTGTCTCTCATTCATAGTACTGCACATGAAGTTTTAAATGCCAGGCACCAAAACCACATGTCCTATCTAAAGTCTCAGTGCATTTTCATCCCCTAAGTCACAGCTATAGGCCAGGACTGTGCACACACGTGAGCTGAAAACACCACCTATGATGTGGCTACAGAACTCCATTCTGTGCTGCGATATCATTCCTGTGGCCCATTTAAAGCCTGTAGCCTGCTTGTTCAGATATCTGTGAACCTGCCTCCTCCCAACAGTTGGCGCTTGCTGTGAATTAGCCATTATTACCTCTAACACCCCCAATAGCCCAGTGTCACTCCCTTGTATAAAGATCCGCCTATTTTTAACCTGTCTATAAGCTCATTAACTAAGGACAAGGGCCACTTCTTACTTTACATTTCCTAAGAGCTAACACAATGCCAAACACATAGTCAGCAATAAATATATGTCTATTGAATTAAAAAGTAAGTAGATGAATTAACTATACGAATTTGACCTGTTGCCTGCTTACACTTGTAACTTCCACCAGACCCACCCACGTGTTAGTACTTCCAGTTCCGGCTCCAGCACTCTCTTTGCCTTCTCTTGACTTACTGCTGTCTACACCCTGTATGGATAAACGACAGTCTTCAACCAAAGGAAGGGGTGGCATTTCAATCATTGCCTCAAAGGTGGGCAAGGTTTGAACGGAATGGGAAAGGAGGAAGAGAGGAAAAGCAAGGGAGACCTTCCAGAGGGCCCTTGATGTACCTTCTGTACATACTGCTTTCTCTGCCTTGAGTGCGTTTTATACTTTCTTCCATTGCTCCTCATCCTGGCAAAAACAAAAGCAAATACTAACCAAACCACAAAGAAACTATTACCACCCTTCAGACCTTTCACCAAAGGACACAAAACCTTCCTTGATGAGCTTGCCAAGTTAGTTACTAAGCACCTTCCTCGGCGATCTCAGTATCTTTTTGGAGCCTTTGATTGTGGCCCCTCCTCAGTTACTCCCAGGCCTGAGTTGTTTGTGTTGACTTCTCAGTCCCATAGCCAGATCGCAGCTTACCTGAAAATGAGTTTTTCTTTTCATCTTTTTATTCCTGTGAGTGCCAAGCACAGTTGGTGTTCCATAAATATTTACTGTATTAAATTGAAGGATGCTACAGAGTTACCATTAGATAGAAGGCATAAATTCTGGTGATCTATTGTACAGTAGGGAGATGGTGGATAGCAGTAAGGTGTAGTAGATTACAAAAGAGCTAGGAGAGAGGCTTTTGAATGTTCTTACCACCAATAAATAATAAATGCAAGAGGTGATGGATATTTGATCATTATTTAACATTTATTTGTATCAAAACATCACATTGCACCCCATAAATATGTACCATTAAAATGTGCCCATAAAACACAAAATAAAAAACAGAAGGATAGCAAGGCCTTCCAGAGTGAAGACTTTGGAATGACAGTGCTGGACCGGACCTTGAGTTGTGTGGCCTTTGTTTAAATCCATCCTCGCCCGTGCACCGTGGGTGCCATTACCACATTGCTGATGCATGAATGCACTGCTGGTTTCTGGTTGTCCCATGCCTATTTCAAAGAGTCCTTAGTCTCGTAATGATTTTACATACTGGATTAAATTAACAGAAATATGAAGCCACTTCATTTATTTTATTTATTTTTATTATTATTATTATTTTGAGACAGAGTTTCGCTCTTGTTACCCAGGCTGGAGTGCAATGGCGCGATCTCGGCTCACTGCAACCTCCGCCTCCTGGGTTCAGGCAATTCTCCTGCCTCAGCCTCCTGAGTAGCTGGGATTACAGGCACGCGCCACCACGCCCAGCTAATTTTTTGTATTTTTAGTAGAGACGGGGTTTCACCATGTTGACCAGGATGGTCTCGATCTCTTGACCTCGTGATCCACCTGCCTCGGCCTCCCAAAGTGCTGGGATTATAGGCGTGAGCCACCGCACCCGGCCTGCCACTTCATTTAAAATACCTAAATGAGAGGCTGGCAGAACTGGAAGCCCAGGGCCCCTGAGCTCCTCATCTCTAACCTAGCCTCTAATAACTGCAGCCACTACAGCAACAGTCATGCCCTGCGCTTCTATGGCACCTTTTTCCCTAGTTTTTCATGGAGTTCCATAAGCAGTAATTAGTGCAGTTTAGACTTTACAATCCACTGTTTACGCTGGCTCTCAATTAATTAGTTAATTTCCAAGCTAGGAAGGCATGCTTTGTGTATAATTTTATCAGGGCACACACTAGAGTGACTCATATTTGCAGATCTGCCCTTTTGTTACATGTGAGGTACACACATGCTGTGGCAACAGAAACCATCCCACAGCCAGCAAGGCTTCCATGGGCCTCTGAGGCAGGTGCTGTTTATGATAAACTTCCCACTTTACAGTGGGCAGAATGAATCACCAAAAGGCCCAGCAGCTTTTCCAAGGTGTAAGGAGACTGCTCTCTAACTTCGTTTAAAGACTGTTCAGTTTGTTCAAACGTGTTTCAAAGTGTTCAGAGGAAAGGGTTTGTCCTCTTAAAACAACCTGTGTTAACAGAAAACTAAACCCTAAAGTCCAACTAGAACTTTCCATCCAACACTGATACGGGAGGTGGAGAGGGCGGGGGTTTGAGAGGCCGTCTGCCATCACTGTGTCCCAGTTGAGTCTGGTCTGTGGAAAGGAAGCTAGTTGGTGACTCCATGTTCTGAGGAAGTTTTGATTGATGGGTGTGGACAGTAAGCACTGAATTAAATAAAACAATCTTTTTTTAATGGGCAAATAAATATTTGATATATTAACTATGTACAATGTGATGTTTGATATATGTATACACCGTAAAATGGTTACCACCAACCAACTAATTCACCTATCCGTAACCTCACATAGTCTTTGTTTTGTTTGGAGATGAGAAAACTTAAGGTCTGCTCTCTTAACAAATTTCAAGTATGCAATAAAGAATCGTCAGCTGTAGTCCTACGGTCACCATGCAATACATTAGATCCCCGGAATGTATAATTCACAACCAAAAGTTTGTATCATTTGACCACCATCTTATCCCACCCACCCAGCAACCGCCATTCTAATTTCACTGTTGCTTCTGTGAGTTGAACTTCTAAATATTTCACACACAAGTGAGATCATGTGGCATTGGGCTTTCTGTGTCTGGCTTATTTCACTTAGTATAATGTCCTCCAGCTTCATCCATGTTGCAGCAAATGGCAGCATTTCCTTTTCATGGCTGGATAATATTCCTTTATACATACACACCGATAATGTCTTTATCCGTTCATTCATCAGCAGACACTTCGGTTGTCTGCACATCTTTGCTATCGTGAATAGTGTTGCAATGAACATGGGAGTGTAGATATCTCTTCAAGATACTCATTTTATTTCATTTAGAAACATACCCAGAAGTGGGATTGCTGGATTTAAAAACGGGCAAAGGACCTTAATAGACATTTCTCTTAAGAAGACATACTCATGGCCACCAGGTACATGAAAAGCTACTCAGCTTCACTAATCATCAGGAAAATGCAAATATAAACCACAATGAGATATCACCTCACATCAAAAAGATAAGAGAGAGCAAGTGCTGGTGAGGGTGTGGACACGTGGGAATCCTTGCACCCTGTTGGTGGGAACGTAAATCAGTACAGCCATTCTGGAACAGTATGTGGGTTCCTCAAAAAATGACAAGGAGAACTACCACATGACCCTAGTCTGCCTTTAACAGAATGTAAAGCAAGAGTGTCTGGTGGGCTCCAGAACTGACTGGCAAGGCCAAGGGGCAGAGCTCTGCCTGCAGGCGGCTCTCAGTGCAGGACTGTGCTAAATGCAGTAAGCAGGCTGGGGAAGGCTCTTGTGGGAGGTGGTGCCAATGGGAACCTGGAGGCTTTTGGAGTGAAAATCAGGGGTGAGGATGGGGTGAATGTAAATCTCAGCAGGGCATTTATGCACATTTAGGCATTGATCTTCCACTCACAGTAGTAGGTATTATATCAAGATTTTAATATATTTCATATTGAGTGTTTTCATGCTAAATATTAAGAGAAACAGTTTACACGAAAAATATTTCATAAGATGCAATTGCAAATGCCCTAAGATCTTACTGAGTTCTCAGTTATTATCTCGAGTTCTTGAAGCCCTACTGCCTAGAATCCTTATTCAATTAATTTTGTTTTACTTCATTTTTTAACCACACAGAAACTTTCTAAACTCTTCGCTCTTTTGGATCGCATTTCTGAACCAATGGGGACATCGCTGTGGTGAAGACAGTGTACTCTATCCTCCTAAACTCAGTACGTCCTAGTATCCCGTGGTATTAATATCTTACCATATCGGAGCACACAGTGTCAGACTCTTACCCAGGTGTGGCTACAATGGTTAGCAGGCCTGGGTTAAGTATCATGATCATCACCAAGAACTTCTTCCATGTTGACCCTGAGCCATCAACCAATGCTTTCTGGAAATGACTGTTGAATATTCAACAAGATGTGACTCCACCTAAGAGAACTCATGTGGCTCGTATTTCACCATTTTATCCATAAAAACACCAAGAGAGACTTAATCTGGCATGAAACATTCTTAGTAAATCTGAGCTGTCATCAGTAATTAATGTATTATTTTATAAATCTTGACAAACCATCTGCCTAATAACTGTTGTGTCATTTTCCAATATATTTTTGTAGCTTGAGCAAGCGTGGCTTCAGGTCTCTAACTAAGAACACTATTTTCTTAAAGAAAAAAATGAGGCCAGATACAGTGACTCATACCTATAATCCAAGCACTTTGGGAGGCCGAGACAGGTGGATCACAAGGTCAGGAGATTGAGACCATCCTGGCTAATGCAGTGAAACCCCATCTCTACTAAAAACCCAAAAAATTAGCCAGGTGTGGTGGCACACACCTGTAGTCCCAGCTACTCAGGAGGCTGAGGAAGGCTACTCGGGAGACAGAGGTTGCAGTGAGCCAAGATCGTGCCACTGCACTCCAGCCTGGTGCCAGAGCAAGACTCCGTCTCAAAAAAAAAAAAAGAATACTTTTTTACCTTTTTTCCTTTTCCCCTGAAGACCTCCTACTTAGCTCTTCAGAAATGTAATTATAACTTTTACTTTCTCTCCGCTAGACACTCTTATATAACTACGTGTTTGCTTAGAAGTTCCAGGGACAACTGAACCTTGAAACACACCAGGCACTTCTGGAACTCTCATCCACCAGGAGACTGCCTGGAAACAGCATTCAACTTACAACCCAGCTCTGCCCATGACAATATCAGCCAGACCGCTGGATGGATAAGACGTCAAATCAAGCCATGCAGACCCACACACCTCCTTACCCTGCGTGCCATTCATGCCAAGTCCCTATTCAAAGCCTCTGCTTTCTTCCTGCAAAGCTCAAGCCATTTCTTTAAGGCAGGAGCCCGTACTGTTTCCCCTCAGCTAAGGTCTGGAATAAAAGTCACTTTTTACCACCCTTCTGCTTGTTCATCTGAATTTCCAAGTGGTGAGCAGCCGGACCTGCATAAAACCTCAAAGGCCTGAGTAGGTAGGGACGCTGAAGAAGACAGAAGCAGGATGTAGCTGTAGGTCTGACCTCTGATTTGACAGATGATAGGCTGCCAGTCTAATACATAGTACCTAAAAAGGCATGGGGAACTGGGGCTTGAGCTGGCACCCACATTTAAGGCAGCTCAAGTTACAGGGTTGATCAGAGCAACACAAGCTAGGAGAGCATGGTTTCCCATTGCAGGCAGGCAGCGTCCCCAGTTCTGAGTGAGCGGTTCACTGAACGCAGGACCTTAGCCAGAGCCCTTGGGTTCAGGAAACTAAAGCAAGCTGCCGAGAGGGGAGGCCAGCAAGAGCGTCAGGCAAACTATCAGTCTCAACCAAACAGATTCTAGAGGAGAGTGGGATTCCCGCTGCACTAGGAAACGAGTTACTAATCGAAAGACCAAAGGTAGAAACTGGGTAAATAGGGTCAAGAAGTCGAAAGTCTGGGTAACGATGCAAAATGAGCCCTAGGCTCCCACTTTGTGCCCAGGATGCTAGGTCCCAGGTTCGTGGTCTCCACCCACACAATTTTGTTGTCCTGGTACATGGGTGAGCAATGGCAAGTGCTCTTGGGAGCAGAGGCAATTGATTCTGCAGGTAGAGCCGGCCAGCCCTGGAGGAGTAGAAGCCAGCAGTGATCCCTATCGAGGTGAAATGCTCTGCCTTTTCTCCATCTTGAAAATCAAGACAACACTTTCTTTGCTTGGATCTAATTTCAAATTGTGTATTTCTTCAAGCAGTGTTAGTTAAAGATAACAATTAGTGTTGAGTTAAAATTATGTTATGATCTTAATGAAGGGTCACATTTTTATAGAGAAATTAATAAGGCTTGAATCAGGGACTATTATTGTTTATCTCAATGAACCATAGGTGAAAAAAACTGATTTGCTAGATCTGTGCAACCATTAACAATCCCCACTGGCTGTTCACCTGGTGATGTTACCATTATGGGAGACGTAGCAGGCAATTATTATCTTCTTGAGAACTCAGCTGCAAAACGAAACCTAGAGACATGTCTGAGTGTGCAGCATGCCCGTCTGTCTCTTCTCTCTCTCTGTTTACAATATTCTGCTTTCCTTTCATTTTTTCCTGCCCTCCATCCCTCCCTCCCTTTCTGCATTCCTCCCTCCTTCCCTTCCTCCCTCTGTCCCTTCTTTCCTTCCTTCCATCCTTCTTTTTCTTTCTCTCTCTCTCTCTCTCTCTTCCTTCCTTGCTTTTTCTCCTTTTCTCTCTCTCTCTTCCCATCCCTCTCACTTTAACTCCCATATGCCAGACTGTTGGGGCACAGGGATAATGCCCTGTCTGAGAAGAGGGACAGAGGCAGCTGCTCACTTGGTCTGACAGGAAAAAGACCAGCGATGTGTGTCTCAGACCAGGGGATCAGAGGAGGCTTCCCAAGGGAGTCAAGTCCCTAAGGAATATAGGATTTGGCCAGATGGAAAGGAGCATTTTAGGTAGGGGGCATCAGAAATGTGGAGACCCAGGTGTGTAAAAGAATGTGGCCCATTTGGGGAACTGTCCAGTGTGAGCAAGGCCTGGCACAAAAACACACTGTGGGCTAGGCACGGTGGCTCAAGCCTATAATCCCAGCACTCTGAGAGGCCAAGGGAGGAGGATTGCTTGAGCTCAGGAGTTCGAGGTTGCAGTGAGCTATGGCCACACCACGGCATTCCAGCTTAGACCCAGTTCCTAAAAAATAAAAAGTAACAATAAAAAAAAAATTAAAAAAAAATACACAATGAAGGGGAGCTATACTACACTGGCTGTCCAGCTTGTGGGGTAGTCAATTTTAAAACCAGCCCTGGCCAAATTCTCCTCTGCTCATTTATAGTAATAGCTTCTGAGTATAAGCCTTTATAATAAATAATGCCTTTTCTAATGTCACATTTTGTTTTCTTAAAAGACAGTAAAGAATGTCCATGATAGAGAAATAACTTCTTTCACATCATTAGCTTTCCTTATCTAAACAGAGAGCTCTCCGGAGGAACTGGGCATGCCCTCTTGGCTTCGTATATGATTAGGGCACAGCGAGGCAGTGGCTCCTTTTCCACCATATGCTGGGTGGGATTTAGGTAGCCTGGGTACACTCTTATTTGGATGAATGAATAGTTCATGTTGGGAAGGACAGGCACAAACTTAAGGAGCATACTTGGCTTCTGGGAGTCAGGAGTCCCTGATGAGGCGTGTTCTGCATCTCTAGATGCCAAAGTCCCTGGAGAGGGCAGCGTGAGTGTCAGAGGGAGCACCGGAAATGAATACCAAAGGCTCTGTCTTCTTCCACTCTTGATAATGGCGCCAACCCTCTAATTGGGTGTTAGATGTGTTGTTGACCAGAAGAAAATGGAATAGGAGGGAACTGGAGATAAGAAGATCATGTGGACATGGATGCCATCTGTAAACTCCAGGAAACGTGCTTCCTTCAGCTGGACTTGACTGTCCGCTCTTTTGTGGTTATCTAGCTCTGCAAGGAAATAAAACTTAAGTTCCTTTTAACGTCCTTAAGTTACTCCCAAGATGTAACAGAGGCCAGGGACATCAGGAGGGTGATGAACACCAGTAACATACAGTTTTTGGAGCAAGGATTAGAGCGGGAAAGTGATAGAAGCTATAGATAGAGACAGGGCAAGGGCCAGATCTTAAAGACATACCATGAAGAAAGGCTGAGGAAGTTGTCTTTGTCCTTGTTTTCTCCTTTCTTTAGTATCATCATAGTTTCAGACACAATGAAAATGAAATTTGAGGAGACGAAGACCTATTTCCGGGATAACACTGCAAGGACAAACCTCATTTCTGGGATAACACTGCAAGGACAAAGAGATAAGAGGAGTTATTGCCATTCACTAATGTAAACTTCCCTCAACACTGTAGGTCCATTACTTTTGCCTAACATTTCCTCAGATTATTGTTTTTAACTATAGGCTTGAGTTTATC